TGACTTGCCCAGAATCACCCAGTAAGTGTCTGAGCAGATTTGAACCATGTCATCCTGACTAAAGGCCCAACACTCTATCCCCTGTGCTACCTATGAAATTTTCTTTTTCTGTCTTCTATTTATGGAAATGTTTATGTTTGTTGATGACTGCCATGTTCTCGTTCAGTCAATAAACATTTAAGCTCTTATTATGTGCCAGACACTATGCTAAACACGGGATACAAAAGCAGGCAAAGACAGTCCCTGCCCTCAAGGAGTTCACAATCTAATGGGGTGAAATAACAAGCAAACAAATATGCACAAAGAAGCTATGTACAGGATAAATAGGAAACAAGAGAGAGAAGGCACAGAAATGAAGAGTTAAGAATCACATAAAATTAACTAATTAAATGCTCATTTGATTGGGAAAATGGGGTGGGGGAATGAAGAATCTTTCTCCAACAGGTAAATAAATGTTCAAAGGATGTAACTGACAGTTTTTAAAGTAAGAAATCCAAGTTGTCAGGAACCATACAAAAAAATAAATGCTCCAAATCATTTATATTAAGAACTGTTATTCTTAATTGTTAATCCTAAGGTTATACCTCACATTCATCAAGATCTGCAAGGAAAATAAAAAAGGAATATTTTTGTACCATACATTATAAGCTCCTTGCGGGCAGGGGTGTTTCTCTGCCGTGCGTGTGTCCCCAGTGCCGGCACGATGTCTGGCACATAGTAGTGCCTAATAAATACTTGTTAACTGACCGATATATACACATGATAAGTCCTCTCTGTCTCTGATCTCCCTGGAGTACAGGTATAATAGATACTTGGACAGAAATTTGAAAGCACACTTATCAAATTTAAAGATAAGACAAAGCTAGAAATGGCACTAGATGATAATCGGGTTTCAAAGAAAATTCTACAGGCTAAGATGATAGACTAAGTGCAGTGAGACGAAATCTAGCGGAGATAAGTAAAGACTGGCAATTAGGTTCAATAAGTTAACTATGGGATATGGGAGATTTGGCACAAGATATTAAAAAAGACCCAGAAGTTTTAGCTGAGTGTAAAATGAATATAAGCCAATGGTGCTGATATGGTAGCTAACACAGCTGAGGTAATCTTAGGTTAAACAGAAATACAAGGTTTCCATAGAGGGATGTATCATTTTCTATTTCCATACTAATAAGAACATTCCTGATTTATGTGAACACCAGGCCAATTAGACATTGGCCCCACCCCACTATTGTTCCTGTCAGGTTTCCACCCCCATCCCCACTCCCACCCCAGACCTGCCTAGTCCAATGGTACAGATGCATCTGGGTCCTTCAATAGGCCATCACTGCAGGCACCTAAATTTCATGGTTAAAACCCCAAAGTAAGACTACAAGGCATGACCGGACTAAGAAGAACATGCTCGCAATAAGAATGGTTCCAATTCCAACTGTCACCTTTAAAAAACAAAACCAAAAACCAAAAACTGGATCTCTTTATCTGGCCCGGGCTGGACGTGAAGGAGCTAATCACAGGCCTGGTCCCACAAATGAATTATACAGGGGCTTCAACCTGTTCATTTTTCAACTTGGATCAGCTTGCCTCTCCTCAGGCAACTTGGTAGCCCAATCAATTCCATGGTCTCACCATACTGATGTCATACTTAGCGCACATACCAGATTGGCATCACCCACTGCAGCTTAGAACTCCTGAGCTCGAGAGATTGGCAGTAGCTGGGATTACAGGCACGAGTCACCAGTCTACACTAAGTACACATTTTAGGAGGGGCACTGGCAACAGGAGCACATTAAAGGGTTAAAGGCGCAAGCTTGTCAACATGAGAACCGTAGGTAAGAAATGACTTCCGAATTAGTTCAAGGTAAAGTTCTAGGGGGAAAAGATTAAAAAGTTAACGTTCTAAAGAAAAATATTGTAACTCCACATAAGGAATAACTTTGTAATAATTAGAATAATTAAAACAGTAAAAAAAAATGGCCTCCTGTCAGGAGAAGTTAGCCGACCGTATCACAGCACTACGAAGTTTGGAAAACACTTCTGTCACAACCTTGTAAGGCAGTGCAGGTCTTATTATGCCCATTTTACTGATAAGGAAATACTCTCTGAGAGGTTAGGCAGCTTGCCGTGATCACCCAGCTAATAAGGGTCTGAGGCAGGATTCACTCAAACGCAGATGTTCAAACACTACTAAACAAAATCTGACATGTTTTACACTAAAAAGGGACAAATGGGAGTAAGGGAAAAGGGTAAGTGAATTTTTAACAACCTAAGGAAATAAATATTTTGTTATATTTTTCTTAAATACTATCCAATTAAAAAAATACAGATATCCGTCATTTTTCTTAGACCTTCAAGATAATTTGTTACCCATGAAATCAATACTCCTTTGTTCCTACCTTTTTATGATAAAAGAATTTCAAAAGAATTTTGATCTTCAGTCTTTCTAGCTGCTTAACTGATTTTTTCAACTATCTACCATCAAAATATATTGAATTATGAATTAGAAGCACATACTTTTAAAAATATCATATATAGTAGATGTTTCACCATTATTTCTGATGAGTAAGCAGTGTTAAGTGATATTCTGCTATAAAAAAGAAAAATTCAAATTTAAGTCTGCTATATTTTATAGCCTGCCCATAAATTCCTAACATTTCAAAGACTATCTGGAAAAACATGTTAAGTCATTCAAGTCAGTAAAACTTCTACTGCAGGACAACCTCAAGCCATGTTAATCAGCATTCTAGGAGTTAATTACAAGTCTCTGCCTGTTGAACAAACAAAATAATCTTCAAATGTCATTTAAATAATTGCTAAAGAGTTGACAGCACTAACATAGCAGGGCTTAGGGATGGGAATCCCCTATGTAGCCTAGTGAGAGGTCAAGTGGGCTGTGTGATATGTGCACTAGTCAACAACAAATAACCTAATCCCTTTCTAGCAGCTACTGGCATTTAAGATTTCAAGGAGAAGGACATTATTTTTATATTTCCTTATCAATTAACAGAAATACATAGTCTCTTATTAATCAATTAGCTCTGAGAACTCATTTTTCTTAAACCTTTCAGTATTCTCTCAATTTCAAACCTCCAAGTCTCATAGACTTAAATATCAAGTTATTTTCTCATACAATTTATTACAGAAGCAAACAACAAAAGACATAATTATTTAAAATGTATATGATCATGAGTAATATTCACAGCCAAAGCCATCTCAGTGTTGTGAGGTTTTTTTTGGGGGGGGTGGGAGAAAGCAGTTGGGGTTAAGTGACTTACTGAGGGTCACACTGCTAGTAACAGCTCAGTGTGCTTTTAAAAAAAACAACAGAGAGATGTGGAATAAAATAATCTCACCTATGCAACCACTGATTCTTCCTTAACTTTAGAAACATAGTTCTCTTATGGTGGCAATTCAGGTTTCTCAGGAATTCTTGAATCATTCTTGAAAAATGATTTTGGGAAACAAGAATTAAAAGAAGTTCCCCCAAAATGTCGTAAGTTCTTTCTGTTTGACAGTTAACTCACTCAGTCTTTCAGGAAGGACATTCTCTAAGCCCTTTCTATGATTCACACATTCCCTCCACATGACAGTTAACTGAATTCAGATGACAGTTAAAACTGTCCTTCTCCCAAGATTCTAATCCCTATTTCACACTGTTATAATAATAACTAACAGCAGTTTTAAGTCTGGCAAAGTGTTCTACATATCTTATCTCATTTGATCCGTTAACAGTATCTGAGAGGTTGATTCAAGCTAACATTACACTGATATTTTGAATAAGTATATTTAGTAATTTATTTCCAATATGTTCCAATGTCACCAAAAGAAGAGAACACCGTAATAAGCTTTTAAATTCCCCTAGAACTCAACTGCTTTGTTCCCAATTGCCTATTGAATATAGCCATCTGGAGACCTCACAAATGAACTCAAACTGTTTAAAACCAAACCCATCTTTTTTATTATTATTTATTTATTATTATTTATGCACTTGTTATCCCCCTGTTATTAAGGGGATTTGTTCTGCAAAGTTTGGATTTCTTGAGAACCCCCGAGGACCTTCAGGCCGCTGGTTCCCCATCCCTATCCTCATTCTGCCATCTGACAAGCCTTGGATCACAACCTCTCCTATGCTGAGAATAGATTTATTCTCTTTATCCCATCCTGACCCTCAGCTCAATCTGTTGAAGTACTTTCCTTCCATTAAGGCTGAAATCAGGTGCCAATTCTTCCACAGAGATTTCCATAATGTTATTTCAATTCTACCTTCACTTCTTCCCAAAACATGAAAGACCACTCCTTCAAATTTCTCATATTGCCTGGAATTCTCCTTTGTACTAATCTCACACTCAACTGTATCTAAATTATTTGTGGGTGAATCTTTCCCATTAGAGTTCACAAGCTCCTTGAGAATGGGGAATATGTTATATCAATCTTTATAGCGCCAGAACCTAGAACAGCACTTTTGAACATAATGCTTAATATTTGTTGAAATCTACTGAATTCAAATAAACAACTAACCTCCAATTAATCAGATTTTATGAATCAGATTCCAGTCTAAAAAGTCACAGGCAATGAAAATACTGTCCCTCCTTTACCCATTTAAAAGTTTTATTAAGATTGTTATTAGCAATTCAAGGGTTGTATATTGTTGAAAAATAGAGACAGGCTTACATAATTTCTGAACTCCTTAAGTATGAACAAATGAATATTCAAACAACAACCTATTTGGATTTTGAAATTATGATCTGGTTATTGCCATGGTCCATTTTTCTTTATTGCAGGTTAAGAGTAAAGAAGCTGAAAGTTCCCATTGACAGTAGACTGGGCAATATTTTCTCCACTCTGAACTTTTAATTACTGTTTGGTAGAAAGAACTTTTACTTTTCCACAATAAAAATGAACCCAAACCTGTGACTCTGCAAAAATGTTTCCATGGTAGCACTGGGAAGAGGTGTATTTGCAAAGACTGATGGACAATCAGTGGTCTTTCCCATAAAGGAAATGTGTAGAGGGTATTTGCTTTGTTGCTGTTCATACTAATGAACCAACAAGGAAAAGAGCTCCATTCAGCAAAAATGGCATGCTCCCAAGCTATGAAATGTACATTAATTCCTAAAGCTATTCCAAATTCTTGTTGCATCCAGAAATTCCTGCTGGTCCACAGCCCCTTTTTGTGCTGGACCTCTGAACTCATTACTCACTGATCTACTTTTTATTTTTAACCTCGAAGGTTACATAATAGGACACTTTTGCTCAAAATTAGTCGTCTAAATCTCATTGCTTCATGTCACAGGGATCTAAAAGTTTCAGTCATACATTACTTCAACACCTTGCCCTTAAAGATTCAACCAGAAGAAATCTCTCAATTAAACAAAGAAGAATGTTTATGTTCAAAAGTGTAGAACAAAAACAACTCTTCATCAAATTACTATCACAATAGATTACATCAGAATGAATTCACTTTCAAAGTGGAAGACCTCGGGAGCCTACACACTTATTCCAAGGATGCTATTATTTCTCTCAAGGCATTTTGCATTTCCTCTTTTTGGAATGGCCTTTAACATAGACACAGCATTGGCCTGAATATTCTCAACCAAAAATTTCAGGTCACATTTGGAGCCAAACCAGGTGAGTAATGGGGGTGGGTAAGGGGAAAGGGGAGTGGAGGGGAAAAGAAGTTGATTATGATATGATAATTAATATAACAGGCTCAAAAGCAGGGTTTGATTCTGTAGTGGAATGTAGCAGAACTGGTTTTCTTGTATAGACAGTGAATTGGTTCTGAAAGCAATTCCAAAAGTGAAGTTCTAAAAAATATTTTGAAAAGTGGCAATGTCAACTGGAGTAAATGAAAAATAAAATCACTGATTACTGCATATGTTGACTGGGTAAGTATTAAAGAAAGTCTTGATGAGTTGGTGGAACTACTTAAGCAAGTGAATTCATTACTATCTAGGAAAATAGTGCTACACTAACATGCATAAGACTAAAAGCAATTCCCAATGAATAACTGATCAGAGCAAATGAACAAATGCCCAAAAGAACTCCACACTATTAACAACCATATGAAGGACTGCCCTCATATCACTAACAGTAAGAGAAATGCACTACAACTCTTGAGGTTGCACCCGAAACACAGCGAAGTGGAAAAGATGACAAAAAATGAGAATAGTTGATGATATAGGAGCAGTGAAAAGACAGGCACACTAATACTTTGAGTGGAGCTATGAAGTAATTCAAACATTTTGGAAGGTAATTTAAGATATTTAAAAAGAGAAAAACTGTCCATATTCTTTGGCCCAAAGATCTCAACGCTAAGCATATACCCAAAGGAGGTTTAAGACAGAAATAAAGGTTCCATATACACCAAAATGTTTACAGTAGCACTTTTTGTGATAGGGAAAAAAAAGGCATTTGAAACAAAAACAGATATTTATAATAGGAGAATAAATTGTAGTTCATGAATGTAATGGAATTTTACTAATCCTAAAAAGTTTGGTTTGGTTATTGCCTTTTGTTCTCTAAGAGGACCAAAATGACAACACTATGTTGGAGACAGGGTACAGTGTGTCCAGCTGTGGCTGATCAGACCAACACAAGCTTGGGAGGCTCTACCACAGGTGGGGCACAAATAGTCCATACGAACATTTGGAGTGGAGATGTCTCTAAATATGCGCGTCTCCCATTTGTTTTGAGTTACTACAATTCTGCTTCACTAATGGACCACAGTGCCCTCTTTGACGCGAGCATGCCACGTTGGGCAGTCCTTTGCCAGTATCTCCCATGTCACTCAATCAATTTCAAAGTTCTTCAGACAGACCTTGAGAGTATCCGGCTGTACCTCTTCTGACCTCCATGTGAGCACTTCCCTTGTGCGAGTTCTCCATAAAATAGTCTTTCAGGCAAACATATGTTTGGCATTCAAACAACGTGGTCAGCCCATTGAAGTTGTGCTCTATGCAGGAGAGTCTGAATGCCTGGCAGTTCAGCTCAAGAAAGGACCTCAGCATCTAGTATTTTATCTTGCCAGGTGATCTTCAGAATCTTCCAGAGACAATTCAAATGGAAGTGATTTGGTTTCCTGGCACAGTAGTGGTAGATTGTCCACAGACACACAAAAATGAGGTCAGCACAATGGCTCTGTAGACCCTCAGTTTGCTAGGTAGCCTAATACCTCTTCTCTCCCAAGCTTTCTTTCAGAGCCTCAAACACTAAGCTAATGCTGGCAATGTGTGTAGTAACCTAATCATCTATGTGGACATCTCTGGGAAGCTGATCATTGTCCTTCATTCTCAAAGAGGACCAAAATGATATCACTATGTTGGAGTCAAGGTATAGAGTGTCTGATTGTGACTGATCACAGTAATGTGAAGTAATATGAATATGAAGAGATGGAGAAGGAATATGAACAAGTCAAAAAAGGACAGGAATGTGAACTGATTCAAAATGAAGTAAGTAGAACCAGGAAAACAATGGCAATGGTAGTATAAAAGGAAAAAAAAGAATGAAACTGAATATTGTATAATTACAATGACCAAGCATAGCCCTTAAAAAGTAAGAAAAGGTATCTCCTTTCTTTCTCTGAAGAGGTGGTGGTGGGGCATGCGGAGGGGGAGGTAGATTGGTGTAGAATATTGCATATGCCATCAGACTTGGGTGTTGTGTTAGTTATGCTGAACAGCTTTTTAAAAGTCTGCCTTCATTTTCTGTTTCAAGAATTTTCACTGGGTAGGAAAGGAGGAAGGTATATATTTAGAAATGAAGAGGATATTTATTTTTTAAAAGCTATAAATAATATTTTTTTAGAAATTTGAAAGAGAAAAACTGTATTACAAGCAATTATCTTCCGTTTTATTCCTCTGGACTAATTAATTATAGATTATCTGGGAAATGAAAAAAGTAAGCCCATTTTCCACTTCCCCTAATCTGTGAAAGAAGAAGAAGAAAGGAAGAAGGAAGAAGGAAGGAGAAGAAGGAAGGAGGAGAAGGAGGAGAAGGAGGAGGAGAAGAAGGTGTAACGTGGGCTGCATAACCTGACTGCATAAATTTCACAGCCTGCTTTGGAAAAAATGGTCAGGTTAATATTTTGAATTATTTTTTAATATTTTTTAATTATTTTTCAAGGTTGTAACTATGTTTTATTATTCTGAACTTGACAAACATGTTGTTTTAACATTTGTATATACAAGGAAAACAGGATTGCATATGAAAATAAAAATCTCTATAGTTTTCTTTTTAAAAAAAGTTAAGTTAGTTTCAAAGCTATCCTACTTGTCTGCTTCCCTCTGAATTTCTTTTCTTGTTTTGTTTTTTTTGTTCATTTCTTTCAATGTCCTGTTGTTTATTTTGCTATCATTATCACTGTCCTTTCCCTATCCCCTCCCCCTCAAACTTCCACCAGAAGGAAAATAGATCCATCTCCTTATCACAGTCTCAAAAAACAGATTCACATATTGAATAAATCCTGAATGCATGTGTTATTTTGTACCTTGAATACATAACCTCTTTGTCAAAAAGTGAGAAGCATGCTTCATCCTGAGTCCTCTGGACTGATGCCTAGTCATTTCCAAGATCAGAATTCTTAAATCTCTGAAAATCATTTTTCTTTGCATTGCTGTAATCACTGTATAAATTGTTCTTCTGGTTATGCTCACTTTTTCACTCTACATCAATTTATGCAAATCTCCCAAGGTTTCTTTAAATTCTTTGTCATTTCTTATGATACAATAGTCTATTATGTTTACACGTCATAATCTGTACAGCCATTCCCCAACAGATGGGCATCCCTTTGATACCTAGTTTTTCAGTGTTTGTTGTGGGGTTTTTTTTCTTAAAATGTTTTATTATTGCCTTTGTTTCTTATATCACAGTTATTACTTGATATGATATCCTCTCTTCCTTGGGAAATGAACATGTCCACATAACAAAGCAAAGTGACTTTGCAAAAAAAAAAAAAAGATACTTGATAGTGACCATATCTGACAGTATATGTGATATTTTGCCACTATAGTTCCCCATTTCTTTGACAAGGATAGCGAGCTATGCTTAACAATCCATTCACTGGGATCAATTTAGAGTTCAGTTTCCATTTAGCATCCTTGCCACTTACATTACTGCCTTCATGCATATTGTTTTCCTGGTCCTGGTTATTTCAGGCTGCATTTGTTCATACACATCTTCCCGTTTCTCTGAATTACACACGTTGATCATTTCTTACTGTATATGTGTGTGTGTGTGTGTGTGTGTGTGTGTGTGTGTTTTAAAGAAAAGTAATGCAATGAATATTTTGTAACATAAGGATCCTTTCCCTCTTTTCTTGATCTTTCTGTAGGTAACACTGATATCACAGGGGGAAAGGGTAGGTATAAGGTAAATGACTTTCTGGACTTGCTGAGGCAATTCATATCACTACCAACAACATATTAGTATGTTATCCCTGTTAAAAATTCTGATTTTCCATTTTCACCATCTTTGTTAATGTGACGGGTGTGAGGCAAAAACAAATAACCAATTTAATTTATATTTCTCTTATTAATGATTTCAAGCATTTAGTTTTCATATAGCTGTTGATTGATCAATTTTTTCTTTTGAAACTTGCTTGTTTATATCCCAGGGTCTGCTAAGTGGCACAGAGCAGATTTGAGTTCAAATCTAGCCTCAGACACTTACTAGCTGTGTAACCCTAGACAAGTTACTTAACCCTATTTGCTTCAGTTTTCTCATCTGTAAAATGACCTGAAGAAGGCAACAACAAACCACTCCAGAATTTTTGCCAAGAAAACCCCAAATAGGGTTGTGAAGAGTTGGACACAAATGAAATGACTGAACAGCAATATTTTGCCCAATTTTAATGCCAGAAAAGAAATGCAAAAATACAAAATTCCTAAGTGAACAGAACAAGAAATAAAGAATTTAAATAACCCAACCTCAGAAAAACAAAATTGAACAACCCATAAATGAACTCCCACAGGAAAAAAAATACTCGAGGCCCAGGTAGATTTACAAGTGAATTATACCACACATTCAAATAATAATTAGTTCTAATTACATAAGTTGTTTGCAAAAATAGGGGGAAAAGGTATTGTATCAAGCTCTTTCTAGAAGACAAATATGGTCCTGAAAATGAAGGAGAGATAAATCAAAGAAAGAAAGCTATAAACCAATACATCCAATCAATACATGCAGAAATGCTGAACAAAATATTAGCTAAGAGGCTACAGCAACTAGTTTGGATTCATATCAGGATTGATCCAGTTTTAGAAAAATGATAACCATAATAGACCATAGTAACAACATAAAGAATAAAAATCACATGTTAAAAAGAGATGTTAAAGTAAGATGAAAAAGACTCATATACAAAACAGTATCACTTTTTGTTTTAACAAAGATGCAAAGGAATTTGGGAAATGCTTTAAAAAATTATGGTACAAGAACACAATGTATTATTATTGCACAATAAGAAATTGTTGTTGTTGTTTGTCCTTCATTCTCGAAGAGGATCATGACATCAGGGAGGTGATGCCACAACTTGCAAGTGAATTGGATTTAAGTGAGGGAGGGCTGTGCAGTCACCAGCCTCACCTTCTCCTCTAGAACCATCTGGGTCCAGTGGCCAAACAGAGATCAGGTCAAATGAAGATGGCCCAGGATGCAGTGGAGGACCTTGGCCTTTGCAAGCTAAGGTTCTTAAAAGGTCTCAGTTTGGCTGAGATGGTGTCCATTCAGTGATTAAAGTTTTCAAAAAATGAGGCAAAGAATAGCCTCTTGTTTTTCCTTTTTTTTTTTTTTTGGTGAGGCAATTGGGGTTAAATGCTTGCCCAGGGTCACCCAGCTAATAAGTGTCAATTGTCTGAGGCTGAATTTGAACTCAGGTCCTCCTGACTCGAAGTTCAGAGCTCTATCCACTGCACCACTGCACCACCTGGCTGCCCCAGAATGGGATCCTGAAAAAAAAAAATGGATCTGGGTGGGGAAGATCCCAGGGTTTCTGGCCAAAACAAACAATTGTTATTTACATCCATTCTGAGCCAATCAAGGTTCAAACAGTGCCAAAAAGGGCTTGGTCTGGGTCCAGAGTGGTTTGGGGTTAAGACTGGTCTTCAGGAGAAAAAAACCAACACACACAAAAAAGTGAATGTATAATGAAAAAAATAAAATGAAAAAAGGAGCAGGAATTGATGAGATCACCAATGAATAGACAGAGAACAGGAAAGTACCTAGGATAGAACCCTGTGGGACACCTACGGATACAGTGTGTGATCTGGTTGACGCTCTAAAGGTAGATTACAGATGTGAACTTAAACAAATATGCAAGATAGCTAAATTTGCTTTGGGAAATTCAGGTAACTCATAAAAAACACCTTGGCTCTCTAGAGATAGGGAAGACCCAAGTAGCTCAAGGAAAACTGGGGCCTAACCAAAGGGAAAAGTATATGCAGGTGGAATTAAGGGTCTGGAATCTAGATAGCAACCAAGATTGAGGACAAATACCAATATTTAAAGCCATAATCAAATGATGAATGAAACCAAGTATTTAAGGAAAAGTTTAAAGAATCAAACAGGTATCAAAGGTCAGAGCAAAGGACAGACGCATATTGGACAGTAAAGATCAGAAAGAGCCTTACATAAGGTTTAGTGTTTTAATACGGTTCCTGCTGAGGCAGGTATGAAATTAATCATGGCTTGCCAAGGCCTCACAGATGACAGAAGGTTACTGGAAATGCTTCCCTATAATGACAAGTGGGTGGATGGTACCAGGGACAAAGCAGCAGCTTTCGTAAAGATTTCCACAATGTGTTTTTTTCTTTTTAAAAAATTCTGCAAAAAAAAAAAAATTCTGAATTCAATAAATACTAAATAATATGAGCATTTCTATGTACATCAAAGCATAGGAGAGGAGGACTATACATGAAACAGTTATGCTCTACTATGTAGAGCTTGCTTTTCTTTTAAAGTATATAATAACATGTAACTTCAGAAATTTTCCTGCTTGTGTGTGATTTCTTCAGGCCTTCCTTCTGTTCTCTTCTCCTTTGGGGAAGGTGTGGGGGGTGGGGGGAGAAGAGGGCATCGAGAGAACCCTATCCCTAGACCCCTTCTACTTTCTACCCCCCACTAAAAACAATCTGATAACAAAATTGCTTGGTCAAGTGAAACAAATTCCTGTATCAGCCATGTCCAAAATTCTTTTTCCAATTCTTACTTCAGAGCAACCATTCAGTAGCTGAGGAATGACCGTGACAATTTCCAAAGTAATAAATATGTAACATATACATTGACATAGTAAACATGCAACTTATAGAGACTAACCCATAACATCGAGTCCAAATGAACTGCATCTGAAGGATATGGGGACATTGTGCACAGGCACTACAGAAATGTTACACAAGCCTGACAAAGGGGAGGAAGGGGCAACTGTTAACATTTAGAATAGGCAGCTTCACTTCACTTTCAAACAAACTCCCTCACCTATGGATGACAGAAACACTATCAAGTCTTTCTTAACTTGTCAAGAGTGAGTACTGGATAATTTGATGATTAGAACCCTAAATGACCATTCCTTTTCATATTAGAGGCCATGTCTCTCACATTTGTTTTCCCTGGTTCGGAAAAGGACAAGGTACCTATTGGCTTTGAGTTTCCTACATATTTTGTGAACTGTTTTGTAAACTGAGGAGCCTATATTAACATAGGTCTGAAGAAATGCGCAAACTCAATGGGGTGACTGGGTGGCACAGTGGATAGAGCACCTGTCCTGGAGTCAGGAGGACCTGAGTTCAAATCTGGTGTCAGACACATGACACTTAATTAGCTGTGTGATCCTGGGCAAGTCACTTAACTCCACTGCATAGCCAAAAAAAAAAAACAAACTAAAAAGAAACGTGCAATTGGGGGTGAGGGAAAGGAAGTGGGA